CGGGGCGGTGGATGGTTTTTAATTCCTGCGGAAATCGACGAACTGGATCATCGCTTTAAGTTTTTAACACGCAATGCATGCAAATGATCCTGGGCGTATTGTTATTTAATTTTGAAAATAAACTTCCACTACCGCAGCTGTCACCTTCACTTGTGCGAGAAATGTACGAGAAAACAATATAAAATTATGCTTGAAAAATATATTTCGTGTAAAATGGAATAAAGTTGTAACATAAAATTTTAAACAAAGTCGATATATTTTGTCAGTATTCGCAAGGGGGAGCGGACTTGATGCACAAAACTTCAGGAAAGTTTGCCAATTTCTAAACCTGAATTTGCGATTAACAAATTTGATTATAATAAATTAATATAAACCAATGAAGTCCAATCTTACTTTCATCAAAGTTAGTATACTGTAACTCTGAGCAGATGAATATAGTCATTTTCTGTTCATATTTTGAACATTTGTCTGGAATACATAAGCATAACAGATTTCGTGATTTAAAAATCTCAGAAATGATTTTAACTTTCTCGCTCACTACGTACTTACGTTGTGAAGAAAAAATATTGTAATTCTGCAGTGGAAGCTGGGATCCCAAAGGAGAGCAATAAAGGCGCATATAAGCTATGCGATGGGGAATACCTATTTTAGGTACTATAGTCTGCTGAGACCTTCTTTTTATCAAGACACTCCAATTGAGATCGAATACCACTGCATATAAATCAACCTTGAGAACCAGAGAGGATGTAGTATATTGCAGAAAAGTGCAAAACAACCATAGAAACGACTAACCACATACTGGGCCAATGCACTTTTACTAAGCCATCAAGAATAACGCGTCATGATGAGATCATGAACTTCATAGAGGGCAAGATGCGCCACAATTCGGACACAGTAGTGTTCACGTAAGCTACTTTTTCCATTGCCGAAAGGGTTAGACTCAAACCAAGGGTCCCATATCTTGCAAAGAAGTAACTATTACACTTGATCGATGCACTTGCTATACGGTACGAGTGTAGCCTGCACTCTGGATATAGACAAGGGAATTCGCGGCGATAATCCACATATTGAGAATAACAATTAACAAAAGAAGTTACAGAACCAAACATATTTTAATAACCTTCTTGCAATAGTTGTAACGCATTCAATGGCCTTAAACACGTCTGTAAGTTCAAGTGTAATGTGGCAGTTCAAGTGTGATGAAGTGTAAGTTCAAGTGTAATGAAGCAACTAGTATTCAATTCAATTAACTTACATACTTGTGAATCAATGTATATTCAGTTGTCCTGTCACAACTCCTGCATCATGAAGGCTGGAAGGATTTCCGCCAGCTTCACTGTTTTTACTTGTAGAGTACTTTTCCGAAAAATCACCTTTTGAAACAGTGTTTGATTTTTGGAAATGAGATTAAAAAAATCAGAACACGGAACATTATTAAAGGTTTTTCAAAGTTAACATTGCACCTACTGTTTCTATGCAAAGACTAAACCTCTCCTTGGCTCGTAACAAATTCATCTGAGAAAAAACTCATTCTATTGTGGCTGTAGACCCAGAGAGGAAGAGGCAGAAGTTTACAATTAGCACCATATCACTGAAGAGGATATGTTCCTTTTTAAGGCAACTGAAAATCTCACTTTTACTTTAACACTATTACATTCTAATAGTTTAGTATCAAATGCATGTCTTAACGTGACAGTATTCATCAAATAATCGTTCTTCATTCATATAAAATTCTGGAAACATCACTTTAATTTCTGCATCGCATTGTAAGATTTTTCCTCCAGTAAATTAGTATGCAAATAAACCCATTACATATTCTCACAGGTCAGTCCAATTTGTTCAGGAAATAATCTCTGATATACTCTATTGCACTATCATAATAATTAAAAATAGTGTTTTAGATAGAATCTTAAGTACCTAACTAACCCTTTTTCAGGGTTTCTCAACTCTTCGGTCACATCACATGTTAGAAATATTTCATTCTTTCGCCACAAAAGCGAACACAGCCATCCACATTATCAATTCAGACTCAGAGAGTGAAGCGGTAGCACCGAAAATCGGGACATTTGCCGTCCCGAAATTTATTTGTCGGGACACCGGGACGGAAAGACGACCGTTTGAAAACCGGAACAGTCCCCGTAAAATCGGGACGTCTGGGACCGCTACACAAACCTGACTTGGTAATAAGAAGCCGGGATGGGCTCGACGTGGTCGACGTGACTGTCCGCCACGAGGATGGCTCTAGCCTTATAAAAACTGGAAAGAAAAATATGATAAAATATGAGCTGGCAGCCCAACTTCGTGGAGTGAACAACACTAGAATCCTGCCAGTGGTGGTTGGCACCTCTGGGGATATGTCAAGACCCACAGTTAGAGCCCTTAAGTCGTCGTGGATAATGTCTAGAGACGATCTACTGAGTATCTTTTTAATTTCTTCCAGGTGTTTTTTAAGCTCTTTACCCACTTCGCAAATTACAATGGAGCAATTTAGCATTGATGTTAATAAGTGCACATAAGGACCCTCTTAAATTCTGGGGACGTTTAGGGATCGCAGCAGCTCCAAAAATGCCTATAAATTACTTACTTACCATGACTTTAAGTGGAAAGTATATGCTCTTTAATAAGGTTTATAAAAAATTGTGTAGTTAGTACATTTTGTGGTTCCTTAATGCCAAAAAATTGGTTTATGGCGAAACGTCCGTCTGTCAGTCCGTCTACGGCTAATGCTAGCGCTTAAACCGTTCAGACGAATTCTTCCAAGACTGACGTTCCTCGATCGATTTAACCGAAATCGAGGCCCTACGAATATTTTTATTTTTCAAATGAAATTTTCAAGATGTTCTCAAAAACGTTTTTAAATTAACAGTAGTTACCTTATTAATGTGGTGATACTCAGATCATCAAGCCCGCTCTTCCGCATGACCACGTATAAATATTTTAAAAAAATTTAAAGAACAAGAATTTTAAGACATATTTAGTAATAATGCAATGCACAACTTAGACACTTCTCCCTCGGCTCACAAAAGCGAAAATAACGTCTCGACATTTGTCTTGTGTGGCCGACGCAAACAACAGAAAACAAGGAAGTGCGCAAGCTCTTCCACATTGTGCAAAAACAAAAGAAATATTGAAAATAATTTCAAGAAATTAAAGATATAGGAAACACTAAAACCGTGCCAGAAAATAAATTATAAAAAATATTAATTTTAGTGATATGCGTCAAATGATGACACAAAATATCAAACATGAAGAATAATAAAAAATCATAAAAACTTGAGGTGCACACAAGCACTCGATCACGACGACAGCTTGGGGTAGATTTTAATTAATTAGTTAGTTAATTAAATAAAAAATAGTAAAAACTGTATATGACGTACTATCCCCACTCGTTTTCTTGAACTCCAGAATCTCCTCCCAATATTCTAACTATTAAAAGTTAAATGAATAAAAGTTTCAAAAACCGAAGTTATCAACTTTTGAAAAATAGAATTTTTTGCTCCAGAGTTGTAGAGAACTTATTTTCATTAATAAACAATGAATTTAGAAAATGGATAAATAATAAATTTGGAAAATGTCACTAAGGCTTCATGTAAAGTACCCCCAAACATTAAAATATATTTTTGATCACAACTAGAAGTAAATCCTGACGTTAAGTTTCAGCTAAAAAACTTATAATCTCAGGAATTAGTGATGCACTATGTAATACAAAACACACTTCCTTGCGATATTTGCAACTATTACAATT